GCTGGTCTTGAGAGTTACTCAACTGCTTTGAACCAATTCGCAGATTTAGAAGTTAGCGAGTTCATTGAACGATTTCTTGGCACAAAAGTGGGGAGAAGAGCAACTACAAATCGTGGGAGGATTTGGAAAGCACCAGCCTCTTCTGCCGATCTTCCAGACACAATCGATTGGAGGGACAAGAATATTGTTACAGAAGTTAAAAACCAAGTAGGATTTTTTAATGCATTGAGTATCAAATTTTATAATTGATTGGTTTGACGTAAAAGTAGCAAAATCACATTGAATTGATTCATTGTGACTTATTTTCGAGATCATGCTATGTCAATTCTCTTTCCCTTGATCTGTAATTTATGCGGTACGTGGGTGGCACTTTTTAGGGCAATTGTGGTTCTTGTTGGGCTTTCTCGTCAACAGGGGCGTTGGAGGGTGCGTTGGCCAAGAAAACTGGCAAGTTAATCAGTCTGTCCGAGCAGCAGCTGGTGGATTGCAGCTTGAAAAATGGTAACGATGGCTGCAACGGCGGCTACATGTCCTACGCTTTCGAATACCTTGAGGGCCACGCCATCGAACCCGAGAGTGCCTATCCCTATCGAGCCACTGTGAGAACTCTGGAACACTTTACTTGGCCCATCATCTGGCGCATAGTGAATTAAGTCTAACTTTTAAAATCCAAATTTTCAAATTAGTTTAAAAAATAGAGTATTCCATTATTCGAGAGAACGGTAAATACTGTTCACTCCTAGCAGACTAAAGACTCCCATAGTTCACAAGATCCAGGTTTGGATATTTTGTTCTGTGCCATGAATTCTATCCCCTGATCAGGCTCTATATCATTCACTAAGTTTGTCTAAGGGAATTACTTCAAGGACCGTTTACAGACGAAAGTTTTGCAAATGCCTTTCACTGTAATGGGTTATGGCATACAAGGAAGCACAATAAAGTAAGTTCTAATGCCCTAGTTTTATTTTACCACAAATCGCTGTTATTACCGCACTTGAATTTAAATTGAGGGATGGAGTTAATTTTCTCAACACCATATTAACTTGATCAGATAAGTTATTAAAAAGCTAATTCCAGGACATTGCTTTAAGTTGTGGATAAAAAAATGAGGAAAGTGAATTGGTTTTGTAATGAATACAGCGTTGAAGCATCAGCAGCCACTTCGCTGTTCTGTGGCTGTATTGAGTTTTCGTCTACAACAGTTGAAAGAGGCTAGCTGCTATTTCATTTCTTAATAGGATTGTTAACGTTTTACTTAAATTAAACTAGTAGAAAGTTACATTTCTGTTCTAGGACGGTCCCTGCCGCTATAACGAAAGTCTTGGCATTGCGACCGTCAAGGATATCGGCGAGATTCCAGAGGGAAACGAAACGGCTCTAATGGAGGCGGTAGCCAAAGTTGGTCCAATTTCGATCGCAATCGATGCAAGTGCACTGGGTTTCATGTTCTACCGGCAAGTCTCAACGAAACCTTAATTTTTCATTTGCTTTCTATATCATATGGGTTGTTTGAACTGGTTTGTTATAGAGTCGACAGAGCCACCATGATATATCCACTTACTTCAGCTAAAATGGTCCAAGAAGTTAGTGCAATGGTTATCGAAGTCTGTTTATCACCGACGCATACAAGTGTCGGCTGCTGTGAAAGTAATTTTGAACGTCTTTTCACACAACAAAATCGACCCTGGCGTAATATACCTTCTTTTGAATTTTCCTGTTTTGAAAATCAAACGATCGAAATTAAATGTCACCATCTTTTTCGGTCAGTTATAACCATCGCTTTTCTTGCAAATGCGTATCAACAAATTTTTTATAAAGGTAGTTTTATGGATGAGAATGCGTTGTTCCATAAAGTATGGATTTAACCCTATTAAATGACATAATTATGTTATCATGCTGTGGCAGCATTTTGGAAGCCTGTGTTTCTTTACTTTGGGGAAAGGCAGTCCAAAATCGAATGATTTATTTCGTTATAAAATTGCTGACGTAATGACTCACTTTGCTCCACATTACTACGTAGGTAATAAGTTTTGTTTGCAAATAATATTTATCGATTTTATTTATGTCCTCGAGCCTTTTCTACCCATCCCATTGCTTTACATTCGATACATATCTCTGCTCCACATTCCTCTACAAGAAACACCACCTGCTGTACTCAAGAGGCACACAAGGTATCCTAAAACACCGGTTAGAGTATCTTTCCAAATTATCAGAATGCCTTGAACGACAAACTCAATTCTACCTAAGATGTTCGTTTTTGGATTTTAAGTCGTTCTACCCATTTGTTGTCTACAAAAGTTGATTGCCCTTGGTCATTTTAGCCACGGAATCTACAAAAGTCACTGGTGCTCAAGCAAATTTCTCAATCACGGCGTTCTTGCGATTGGCTATGGAAAATTGGACGGGAAACCCTATTGGCTGGTGAAGAACAGTTGGGGCGCCAGGTGGGGAATGAAGGGCTACATAATGATGGCAAAGGATTATCACAATATGTGTGGTATTGCATCGCTGGCTGATTTTCCATACCTTTAAACACTGTACTTATCGCCACGGAGATCAGAACCGGACTTACCATTCCCTCAAGCATCGAAACAATGCTGCATTATTTTTCGCGTTCACATTCTTTCTGGCGCATCATTAAGTGATTTGATATCATGTATTGGCAGGTCCCTGTCAATCTATTCTTGATTGTTTATGATATTTCATTCAATGACTTCCTGACAGCATTCGTAAGGAGTCATCTACTCAACAACGCCTCACCTTCTCGCGCTAGG